CACATCTTTATTAGTATGGTGAAAAAGAGCCCCTGTGGTGCAGAATGCTGGGGCCAGGCTGTTGATGGGTCTTCCTAGTAGGGGCCACATCCGGCCTGTTCTGAAAGCACTGCACTGGCTGCCGATAGCGTACCGGATTCGCTTCAAAGTGCTGGTTCTCACCTTTAAAGCCCTATATGGCCAGGGTCCAGCATACCTAAGGGACCGCCTTTCCCCATATGTTCCCCCACGGGCACTACGGTCGGGGACGGAACATCTCCTGGCGATGCCAGGCCCCAAGGAGGCCAGGCTGGCTGCTACCAGGGCCAGAGCCTTCTCGGTGGCGGCTCCTACCTGGTGGAACGAGCTCCTGGGGGAGATCCGGGCCCTGCGGGACCTAGCGCAGTTCCGCAGGGACTGCAAGACAGAGCTCTTCCGCCAGGCGTTTGAGTAGGAGCCGCCACTATCGTACCATCATTATCTGGCCCTGGAAGAAAGAACAACAGCACTAAGCGGAACGAACGGCACTGAGGGGTATAGCAGCATTATTACGTCATCTTCATGGAAGATCTATTCGGAACATCCAGAGCACTTAATAATGTTGTAATATTGTAGAAGTGATTTTAAATGGTTTTAATTGTGTTTTATGTGCGGGCTTATGCCTGATTGTGAGCCGTCCTGAGCCCACATAGCGGGGAGGGCAGGCTATAAATTGAATTTATAAATTAAAAACAAACAAATAAATAAAGCCCTGTTGTCCACATCCATCAAAGACATCAATCAGCACCATCAGTCCTTATAGTTCTGGACAATCGAGATTTTTTTCATTATGACCATCACATAGGTTAACTTCAAGCTTTAGTGCCATTTCCCTCAATGTGATGTAACAAATCAGAATAAAACTTGGCTCAAAAAAAGCTGTGAAGTTTTGTCTTTACTGAAATAAAGAATAAGTGTCAAGTTCCTAGGAATGTATACAGGTCTTGAAAAAAAATGCATCAAATTACAGGCTGTGATCACACTGGCGGCTTGGCGCGACACGGTGCCGCCTCTAATTGAACCGGGTTAAAGTGTAGTGGGATATATCAGTCACACAGCACACCCTGCTGTGTCTAACGGGGTGAGTATGCCCAGGAAACGCCTGACAGATGTGGCTGTGTGATCGTGCCCGTTTAATCCGTTTGTAAAATGTGCCTCTATCGGGCCAAACTGCCAGTCTGAACACAACCACAGATTGGGAGTGCGACAATGGTAGATTGGTTGGTAAGAAGGAAGCAAGCTCAAACTCACCTCCATACTGATGCTTCACTGTATTTCCAATGTCTGCAAACTTCCGGTCTTCAAATATCAAGAATTCATGCCGGTCAGCAAGCCCTCTTAATTCTTTTATTACTTCTAAGGTGAAATCTTCCAGAATATCTATGTGCGTTTTCAAGACACAGATAGATGGGCCAAGAACAGCAGCCAGTTGGAGCAATTCTGTGGACTTGGTTACATCAGCAGAAAGACACAAGTTAGACTGCTTCTTCTCCATGAGCCTGAGAAGCCGAACAGCAAGGGGATGTGTGCCAGGCAGCTCAGCCCGAGCACCAAAACTCATCTCTTTGCATGTTCTTTTGATTGCAGTGGTACCATTTTGCTCAGAAGGCTTACTGATGTTCTCCTGAATGAATCTCTCTACCTGCATCACCATCGACGAAGCAACTTTTTCCTGCTGCTCGAGGATCTTGAGCACCTTAGTCAAGGTACACACTGAATGTAAGCGAATCCCATTTTTCGCCAGCATGGCTTCTCCTCCCTGCTCTCTATCCAACAGCACAATAGCATCAGTAACATTCAATCCCTCTTTACGGAGAACCTCCGCTGTTTCCAAGACACTTGAGCCGGTGGTGACCACATCCTCGATGATAAGACAAGTTTCTCCTGCATTTATGATGCCTTCTACAATGCGCTTGGTACCTTTAAAATCAAGAAGTAAAATAATTAAACCAATACATACAGGAAATTGAGACTTAATTTTTAAAAACATCTTTGCAGTCTTGAACAGTCACAGTTTATATACCCATGTGGACAACCCAGATTGCTTCTTTTACCATGCTCTTTGTACATACTGAATGTAAGCGAATCCCATTTTTCGCCAGCATGGCTTCTCCTCCCTGCTCTCTATCCAACAGCACAATAGCATCAGTAATATTCAATCCCTCTTTACGAAGAACCTCCGCTGTTTCCAAGACACTTGAGCCGGTGGTGACCACATCCTCAATGATAAGACAAGTTTCTCCCGCATTTATGATGCCTTCTACAATGCGCTTGGTACCTTTAAAAGCAAGAAGCAAAAAAATTAAACCAAAACATACAGGAAATTGAGACTTAATTTTAAAAAAAACCTTTGCAGTCTTGAACAGTCACAGCTTATATACCCATGTGTACAACCCCAGATTGCTTCTTTTACCATGCTCTTTAGCTTCTTTCCTGCGAATAAGCATTGGGATCTGGTTGGCAGAGCAGATTATTGTAGCCAGTGGTAAAGCTGTGTATGGAACCCCACACACACAGTCATACTTGATTCCAGCATCTTTTGTTGTTTGAAAGAGAAGATGTGCTACCTGAGGGAGAGAAATTTTTTTAAAGATACTTTATTAACAGGACTATACATTTGTGTTACATGGCAGTAGGGAAAACATGGAGTCCATAAGCTATCTGCCAGAAAGTATACCCTCCCCACCCCCTGCCCCAGAAGTTTCAAATTTCTATGGATGGGAACTATGTTTTTGTTTTACAATATGCCTTGTTACTTCACAAAACAGGCTAACAAGTCTTTCTGCTGCTATTTGGACTGAGAAGGGAAAGACAGCTTATATTTCATACTCATGGGTTTTTAAAAAGCAGGGATACATCACCAACATCTGGCACCTCAATCCCCATCAGTTTATCTATCTATCTGTATTTGAAAAACAGCAGGGGGAAAAACATGAAATTAAGGTACAAATATTTTGATTCTATTTCAGATTTCCACATACTAAAATCTTAAAAACTATAATAATAAAATAAAAATATATTATATAACAAATTATATATATATATATTTTACAAACTGAACTCTCCAATGCAAGAACAACATGCACTTCTTCCTTTAGGAGGTGCTATTGTCAGAAGAAAATAAAAAAGGTTTCAGTTTCGTTTTTGCATGTGGGTGGGTATTCTGTTTGTAATAATTGTTTGGATACACTATATTTTAAATATGCTAGTTGTGATAATTTCATGCCAAGTAAAAATGTCCATAGTCATATTTCATGTTCCTAAAGTAACAGAATGACTTTCAATCAAAAAAAGACAAAAGAAATGCTAATGTAGCATTTTTTTCAATTTTTCAAAAAATTTCCATTTTTTCCCGGGAAAAAACGGGTTTTTTCCGGCGCTTCCAAATTTCCGGAAATTTTACATCTCTAATGTTACCTTTGAGGTTCCTACATATGGATGAGCACTACATATATATCCAGGCTACATGATCACCCCACATTGCTGTTAACAGCAACCTGATCTGTGGTGAAACCAACTGCACATAACCACATTTTTTTACACATTCATGAGCCCGTGAGAGACACCTGTTACCAGTGTTCTCTCAAAGCTGAGTTAGTGTGAGCTAGCTCACAGGTTTTTTTAGCCTCCGGCTGACATATTTTTGTCTTAGCTCAGGAAGGGACTGCTCCAGAGCAAACTAATTTACGCAGTAGCCAATTCACCTGCTCACAACTTTAATGCCAGTAGCTCACAAAGTAGAATTTTTGCTCACAAGACTCCACAGCTTAGAGGGAACATTGCCTGTTACTACCTCGTTTTTTTTTATGAAATCATTTCCTTCGCTAGTCAGAGCATAACATATACCTATCTACTTAGGAAACCACCAATTTCTGAATGTAACAAAAGGGGCTATTGCTCACACAACTCCATCCCTCCCCCCACGAAAAACAAATGCCACAACAGACTGTTTCTACAGTAAAACAGACAGAGGCTGAGACCTTGAAACAAGGGCCACCAAGACCTCTGAACATTCAAAGATTGTTCAACAAAGGTTCAGTTACTGCGCTCTGAGGTGGGTCAGCCCTTAGAACAGCCCAGTAAAGGTTTCCCTCGCTCGAAAGCCAGTCGAATCCAACTCTAGGGTGCTCATCTCCATTTCCAAGCAGAAGAGCCAGCGCTGTCCGAAGACGTTTCCGTGGTCATGTGGCCGGCATGACTAAACACCAAGTTGCACGGAACGCTGTTACCTTCCTACCGAAGTGGTCCCTATTTATCTACTTGCAATTTCTTGCTTTCGAACGGCTAGTTTGGCAGGAGCTGGAACTAGGCAACTTGGGTCTCGAACTGTTGAACTACTGACCTTCCACAGCCTGCAGTTCAGCGTCTTAAGCAATTTCTTGCTTTCGAACTGCTAGGTTGGCAGGAGCTGGGGCCAGAGACCAGCACTCACTGCATCATGTGGCACTCCGGTCTCGAACGGCTGAACCACCGACCTTCCAAGACTGCAGTTCAGCGTCTTAACCACTTGAGCCACCGCAGCCCCTACTTAAAACAGCCCAGTAGAGTAGCCCAATATCATCTTCATCCATGCAAACCCACGCCTACTTCTTTCACCAATCACGTTCCTCTTCCTCTGCCCAACCTATCAGATTCTACAAGCTATTCAAGAGCCCGCCCCTCCCTTTCACGTTCACAGATATCATTGGCTACCGGCCCTCAACCGCCTTGCCCCGTCTTCCGCACTGGGTCGTTCCCTCTTTCCCCATTCAGCCTCCGCCTCCCCCTGACGCGAGGAAAGAGCACGCACTTTGTTGAGCAGAGCCGGGTAAGCCACGACGACACGCAGGTCGACGTACACCGGGGAGACGAGGCCACTCTTGAGCACGAAGTCCCCGAAACGAAGCGCTCCCACGCGGTGCAGCTCCGACGCCAGCGGATCCATCGCGCTCGCGCCGCCACCACTCGCCCGCGCAATCCCGTCGCCGAATGATGACGCAACCCTGCATCCGGGCGGAGGACCCTGGAAGGGCGGACTCTAGTGGCCATCGTCGCCTGTCTCTCTCTCCCCCCCCCCCGTTTCTGCTCTAGCATTGGCTGGTGACTGCAGAAGGCGGGCTAAAGCGTTTTCTTTGCTTCTGCTTCTAGGGCGGCTTTTAAATAAAATATTTTTAAATGGCCATGAAAACAGGGGAGGGAAACGAAGGTGGTTCCAAGGGGCAGCACTGCGCGCCGTGCAGTGTTTGTAAGGACAGGTGGCTGTTCGAATGGGCAGGCGTGCCCAGCCCCAGGTTTTAGTACCCAGCTGGGCTTCTCGTGTATTGAAGATCCAGAGTAGAATTTTTGCTCAGCTTAGAGGGAACATTGGCTTCTTGTGCCACTTTTAAATAAAATATTTTTAAATGACCATGAAAACAGGGGAGGGAAACGAAGGGGGTTCCAAGGGACAGCGCCGCACGCCGTGCAATGTTTCTAAGGACAGGTGGCTGTTCGAATGGGCAGCCGTGCCCAGCCCCAGGTTTTGGTATCCAGCTGGGCTTCTCGTGTATTGAAGATCTGACAGTCTGTCGTGCTCGCTGTGAATGAAACTTTAATAACAGCACCAGTCTTCCCTCTAAGCTGAGTTAGTGTGAGCTAGCTCACAGTTTCTTAGCCTCCGGCTCACACATTTTTGTCTTAGCTCAGGAAGGGTGGCTCCAGAGCAAACTAATTTATGCAGTGGCCCAAATCGCTTGCTCACAACTTTAATGCCAGTCGCTCACAAAGCAGAATTTTTGCTCACAAGACTCCACAGCTTAGAGGGAGCATTGAACAGCACATGTCTGCTTTGGACCAGCTGTTTTCAATTGCAGCCATGTTCTTGCTAAAGGAGGAGGGCCATTTTGTCCATTAAGCTGGGACGTGTTCTCGCGCTTTTCCTATTCAGAGTGGCTTACAATGGTTGATCCAACACATTTATTAGTTGGAAGAAGAGGAGGGGATTGGATTTATACCCCGCCCTTCACTACCCAAAGGAGTCTCAGAGCAGCTTACAAACTCCTTTCCCTTCCCCTCCCCACAACAGACACCCTGTGAGGTAGGTGGGGCCGAGAGAGCTCTGACAGAAACTGCTCTTTTTTCAAGGACAGCTCTTATCAGAACTACAGCTTGCCCAAGGTCATCCAGCCAGGTGCCAGTGGAGGAGTGGGGGAATCAAACCCGGTTCTCCCAGATTAGAGTCCACCACACTTAACCACTACCAATTTATAGATGTTAGTATGTTTATACTATATATACATATTATACATATATAGTATGTTTAGCCCTCTGCTTATCACACCTAATCCAGTGAAACCTGCTGTTGTCATTCAGCAAATGAAATCACTCCACTCTCCAAGATATGAGGACAGATAGATTCACATTTTAGCTGTGTATGCAGAAGTGAGCAGTGACTCAGGAAAGCTCATACCCTGCCCCAAATTTTGTTAGTCTCTAAGGTGCTACTGGACTCTTGCTCATATTTAAAGTGCAATCTTATACCAAACTATTCCAGCATAGGCCCATTTAAATCGATGGATCACTGGATTAAATTACAATAGGTGGGTTTTTTTAGTGTTCCCCCCCATTCATTTGTATTATCTCAGAAACTGTTACTATGGTTCTGGAAAGTAACTGTAGTATTATCTTACTGGTCTTGAAAATGAACATCCAAGGCTGAAAGCTAGCTGCTTGCCTAAAGCCACATATGTTTCTTGAGGTGAGATCTGAACTGGGACATTTCCAGATCACATTGCATACTCTTAGTCACTATGCACCACCAGTGCCTCTTTATGGCATGTTATCATTAAACATTAAGTACTGTGCTTTTTAAAGGGCTTGTGAGGTTTGTAGGTGTTGTTGTTGTTCAGGCGCACAGTCGAGTCCGACTCATCACGATCCCATGGACCAGATCACGCCAGGCCCCCCTGTCTTCCACTGTCCTTTGAAGCTGGCTCAATTTCATGTTCGTTGCATCTGTGACACTGTCTAACCATCTCATCCTTTGCCGTCCCCGTCTTCTTTAACCTTCAATCTTTCCCAGCATCAGGGTCTTCTCCAGGTTTAGCTACAGATTAAAGAGCCCAAACAGCAAACATGCACAGAAGTGAGATGTCAGAAGGCAGAGTAATAGGCATCTCTTTCCCCATTCCATTTACACTTGATGTGGAAATGAAGAGACTAGCTGTTTTCTGTAGATTTAGACCTGATTCTTTCTGAAGTGGAATGGTAAGTAAACCTGAGCTGTACTGGTTTAAACTACAACATGATTGAATACTCCATATAAAAAAACCCCAAAACAAACCCTACACATAGAAAGCTAGCATGTCAGGGGAAAAGACTAGAATCTTCCTTGTTTATCGCTTGTCTTTTTCTTTATAAAGAAATTATTTGAATGGAGGAATGTCCAATCAAGCAGCCTCTCACTTGTAGCCTGAAATGGCTTAGCCTAAATACAGGTTTATTAGGTGCTAGCTTACTGGAATTTTGGTATGTAACAAAAATTTTGAATTTGTAATTAGGAATGAGATCACTGACATCTACAACTGTACTACCAGATACCTCCAAATAGGAGGACCAGAGCACTGCAAGCTCTTGCATTAGAAAGTCATGTCATTGTCTTGAAGCAGGAACCTCTAAAATCAGAAGAAATTATAGCTGTTTGGGGGGGAAACCCACATTCTTATGTTTTAACGTTAGGATCACTGTTTACCCCACAATTATAATGAGTACAGTAACTTTGTAATAATGACACCTGATAAACAGCTTTGAATAATATTTTGAGACTCACAATACAGTAGCCTGGTCTTCTAGTAGCAGGGAATGCATAAGTAAGTGATCTTAACTGTCACAACACAATGAAAAGCATTTTCATTATGTGGTTTACATATCAAGCCATTGACTTGCTCTGTGGCATGGCATGCAGCTGTTTGCAGAATTTATTATATCAGGATTGCTCCATTTTTTGGAAACAACAGTTGTCTGTTCCACCTCTCCACTCATCAGACTTTATTTTCTCAACAGAAGACCTGTAACTGTTGGTGTGGCATTTTAGCAAATAGAACAATAAAGAGTTTGATAGAAAGAGAAGTAAAAGCACCAGTGTTGAAAATTTGGATGCAAAGGTACAAATATGGCTTGAGTAGAACAGATAGTTGCAGATTCAGAGTACTGAGACCACAAATTACACAATCCCGACATCATGTTAACAGTCACTAGCATTAATTATCCCAGACAGCAATTTGACATTTGTTGGCAGTGTATAACTAGCCTTGGAAAAAGGAATCTGCTTTTATTCCTTTAGAAAAGCACCATTTTCTGGTGGATCAGCCCTATTCTGACAGATTTTATTTCTACAAATGAATCAGGAAAAAAAAGTAGCTCATGAAATGGCACTGTGGGTTTCCCTAGAGAACCTGATCATGTATATCAAATTCTAATTACAAACTACAGCCCTGGAGCAGCTCTAAACTAAAGGTAAAGGTTTCCCTTGCTCAAAAGCCAGTTAAATCTGGCTCTAGGAGGCGGTGCTCATCTCCATTTCCAAGATGAAGAGCCAGCGCTGTCCAAAGACTTCTCCGAGGTCATGTGGCCAGCATGACTAAATGGTGAGGTGCATGGAACGCTGTTACCTTCCCACCAAAGTGGTACCTATTTATCTACTTGCAATTTCTTGCTTTCAAACTGCTAGGTTGGCAGGAGCTGGGGCCAGAGACGGGTTCTCACTCCATCATGCAACACTAGCATCTTGAACTGCCAAGCTACAGACCTTCAGGTCTGCAGCTCAGCATCTTAATCTCTAAGCCACCGCATCCCCCTTGAAGCAGCTCTAGGCACACTTAATTACATGCAGCTAGCAAATGTGGGTGGGGATGTCTATCTGAACTTCCATAAGTTCCACAGGCATCATATGCACATGAATATCTGCCACTGTGTCAGCTGTACACAGAGATATCCCTGGCTAGACTGGGATGTAAAAGTTTGGGATGGGTTTAAATATGAAGTGCAGCGTGGGCATCTTTACACAAAAATGGCTCTCACCGATTTCAGTGAAATTTGTTCTCGAACATGTGTACCTAAGAATGTAGCCTTAGGACCAAAATTCGTGTTGCCCTAAATTTGAAATGTTACAAGGCCAAATCAAATTTCTGTAGACATATCTGTGTTTCATTCATAAGATTTTCCTATTACAAAGATGCAGAGAACACCTTTAAAATAGAAAGAATGGCCAAGTGATTGGCTCAGCCAACAACCAACCAGTTCTGGCTCCCAGAATTGTGCAAGCAGAGAGTGTTGAGTGACCTCAAAAGTTTGTTTACAAAATGTAAGAATGTTGGTATAAATATTTTACTGTACTATATCCACCTCACGTTTCGAGGGAAGACATCATTTATCCACCTATGAGATGGGCAAATATTTTTGTTTTAAGCCCCATTTCTTACTTTAAATACTGGGTGGGTGGTTGTCTCAGACAAATGTGTCCATGTACCATGTCTCATATCCTGATTTTGTCACTTTCAGCCTTGAGTGTTCATTATATCTGTAAATCTAAACAAGTCTGTACATGACACTATCAGGAAAACTTCATGTAAACCGCTGAGGTCCTTGCAGAAAGCTTGGGATACAAAGAAACACCTTGATTTAGGGATAAAATTCCATTGTTTTCAGTGGCACGTATTTCCAGGTAATCAAGGAAACAATGAATTTTTATACTCTGAGTTGTGAACAATGTAGCCAAGCAGTGACTATGGTAACAGTTTTTCTGATTAGAGAGAAATGCTGAACAGAGTAGCAAGGTTCAGTGTAGCAAAGTTCACTGGTCTCTAGCAATACCCAGATTTGTTCCAGTTCAGCCATGCTGCTGGGATCATAGACATTAAGCACATATCACAGGTGTGATGATTATCAAATCCCAAACCAATGAGTACAGATACTTTCAAGGAGCCATAGCATTAGACAC